ATATTTTGTGCGTCTACAGGTTTGCCTGGACTTGATACTGATGATGCTGTGGGTATTGGTTTAGGGGATGGGTCCACTGATTGCAGGCGATGTTGGGACCATACTTTTATTACAGAATTGTTCATTTATCTTTGTCAAGATAGAAACGAGATCAAGATCTGGTGTAACGTCGGTTTGATGATTTTCTATGTGACCTAGCCAATCAAATTTGTACCTTTTTTGATAAATAAAATTTTTAGGGAATTACTAAATATACACGGGGTGTTTGAAACACGGGCACGATCTATAATTAATTTTTATTAAAAATATATTTTAATTAATATTAGAGTAAGGTTAGAGGTTAGAGTTAGTAAAAAACAGTTTATAGTAAAATTTTGCAAGAAATTTTTTTTCTTTAAGCGTACAAAAAATGATCTGCATGGTGCATATTTTGATTGATTTTCTACTTGTTTTGTGTAACAAGTATTTAAACACCCCGTGTACAAATAGAAATGCCCAAATTTTTAAACCTTTGAACAAAAATATCTGACAACCACCTGGCCAACCATGAAAAAATTTTGTTTAAACCTTATAAGGTGAAGTAGGGTATTTTGACGCAGGAGGTAATGTGGTACACTGGAGTTTTTTTAAAATATCTTGGGATACAGTAATCAGAATAAAATAATTTTTGTACTATTCAACTCGTCTTATCAAGACGAATCGAATGGTACACAAATCGCTTTAATTGGAACTCTTGGTCACAAGATACAAGCAACGGTGATAAAAAACTGATAAAAATTAACAAATGTATATTCAACACGCCCAGCATGCCCCTTGACGATTGGGCCTAATTAAGCAATTTATTAATTATACTATATATATAATTTTAATTTCTTGACGATATATTTACGTCAAGAAGACGAAAATTTTCTCTATACAAGCTCAACTCCTTTTCACTACGAGAATCATGACAATCGTTATAAAAATCTTGAAAACTAGGCCTATATTTTTCTCCCATACAAAACAAATCCACAAATTTGCACATTTTCAGACCTTTAAGAGTAGCGCAATATTTATATTCCCGATCAAACATACCACCGTCACCCTCAGCCTTGCATAATTTTTTGAATATTAATAAAATATAATCCATTTTTGCAAGATATTCGTAGTTATATACGATATCCTTAAAAAAAATCACAAACTGTTTTATTTTGTTTAATTCTCGATCATTCCTGTGATAATTCTCCATCTACTTAATCATTTCATCGGTAACTATTAATTTCAAAAAATAGGTTACGACACCAATAAGTCGTTCATAAAGAATCAGAAGAACATACTTCATCCGATCTTTGAATTCTGCGGCATCATAGGCATGGTTCATTAAATTATCGCGAAGAATTGAGACTGAGTTTATTTCTTCGAATTGTAGATCAAGAGGGTATTCCATTTTTTAATGTATAAAAGCTTTGAATTATTATTCTTTGTAATCAATAAACAAAATTTACTTGTTTATAAGTTGTTGTTTATAATTTTTTGAGAAATATTCTACCTGCCGTTTGATTTATAAACTTGGCAAAATTGATATTGTTTGTACAGATTTAGTTAGATTCAGGGTAATTTTGAGAATTAGTTTTATTTGTTAAAACTTTAATTGTCTAATAAAAAATTTCGTGCATACAAAAGCCAATACAAAAACAATCGCCTTAAAAGAATCAATCATGATTATGATCGTGATTGCATACAAAAGCCAATATAATAAATAATCGTGATCGTGGCCAATACAATAAATAATCGTGATCATGATCATAATTAAAACAATGAGCTTATATTCTTTAAGTGAATTAATCGTAATCACGATTGTGGTTGCATACAAAAGCCGCAATACAAAACAAAAGCCACAATACAAAAAACAATCGTGATCATGATTAAAACAATTAAATAATATGCTTTAAGATAATTAATCGCGATTGTATACAAAAGCCGCACAAAAATTATAAATTGTAGCTAAAAAAAAAAAAAAAATTAAAAAAAAAAAATAAACTTCGAAATTTCGTCTAAGCCCAAAACTATAATTAAATCAAAAACTCAACAAAATCAAACATATACAAACACTATTGAATCGGCTCTTAAGGCACTTAATAGCCCTGACAAACCTAGTATACGAGCAACTGCATTAAAATTTAACATTGCTGAAACAACCTTACGATGCGCGAAAAATAATGGCTTGCCTAACTGTCCTGGTCCTCCAACCTTTTAGGTATCCATGAAGAACAACAATTGGTTGGTTATTGTAAAAACATGCAGAGACTAGGATTTGGACTTACGCGTTCTGGAATAAATTATTGTGTAATGAATATCGTGAATAGTAGCAATCGTAATCATCCTTTCAATGACAGTGGACCTGGAAAGACCTGGTGGTCACACTTTTTGAATGACCATCCTGATCTATCTTTTCGTATACCTCAGGCCCTCTCAGAAGTCCATGCACAAAGGGCCAATCCAGTTATTATAAAGGATCATTTTGAAAAACTTCAAAAAA